GGGAATTTTGAATATTTTATCGTAGCTTAAGATTTCAACGGTTGCAAGCAGTCAGTCGATAGGGCGATTTGAGTCAAATTTGGGCTGTCGCTTGTTCTGTCCCATGTTGGCTGTCTGGAAAAATCTGCTGTTATGTCGGAATTGTTGAAATTTCCTTTGCAGCCTCAAATGCAATCGATTGTGGCAAATGGCCCTGGACGTCGGTTTTTGTGCGTAAAGGCGCTTTTTGTTTGATATCAATGCCAATAGTCTGACCAATCTGCATCTGCATCTTCAAGAGCTGATATCCTCGAGAAACAAGCTCAGAAATGGTTGATTTTTGCATCACCTTGTAGAGGAGAACTGGGGCTGCATATGAAAGCGAACAGGACGAAAGCTACTCATGACAAAACGTTTGAAATGAAAATGTTTCAGCGGCAAAGTATGAAATTATCCGCCTTTCTAAATCGTAAATGAGTCGGTGCCCAAGGCAACAGTTCGAACGCAGAGGTGTTAACTAAATGCCGATGCAGTGTAATGATATGAATAATAGTTAATCGTTATAAAATGATAGCTGTGTGCTTCCTATTTCAAAGCAGTCGATTATGGCCGGCTTCGAACGATTCCTCGAACTTTTCAACGCACCTAATGGAAATTATGGGACCAACCGCACCATTTGCCAGCGTTGAGCGATTCGTCTTGGACGATCTGAATATGTTCTAATTGTGAGTTCCATTAACCGCCTCCTGCCACGGCATCTTCATTTTTAATCTGAAATTCCTCAGGTGAGAAAATGAGCCCACAATTTCGCTTTCTGATTAGACGATAATTTTATTCAGGGCCCTAGCAGATCGAATCAAGTCTTTAAATAAACGGCCGTGCATTTATCTGCGATGCAACCAGCATATGCAAGCATCTCGTTCATTATTATATGCTATTAAATTGATTTTAATAAGACACTTTTATTACGAAGCGACCCACCACTGATCGGACAAAATTACGATAATTGTTACAAAACCACCATCTCTTAACGCTTAACGCCATATTTGGAACCCGGCCGAATAAAGGACGACTTCGACTTTCACAAATTCATTCACGTCGCCCCATGTTAAGGTCGTTTAGGTTCCATAACGATCGGACCTCTGCTTGCAAACGCAAAAAATCACCTGTCTTGTTCATTCTGAAAGATTTCGTTTTCGTTTTCCGGTATCGACAATGTTTAATAACACTTTAGCCGTTCGATGACTACTCGAGATCAAGTGAGGGAACGAGAGCACTTGCAGGAAATGTTTGCAAATTAAAGCAGAAAAGCCGTCGGTCTGGAATTGTGCATCTTGAATGGTTTGCCGCAAAATAATTTGTTAATAAAACGTTGGGTGTTTGAAAGTTATTAGCCAAAACCCTGATGATGCCCCAGTTTCGAAACTTTAACTGCTAAACAGAGATATACTCTTTTCTCTTTCCAACGGAATGACCAACCATTGCATGGTATGGCGAGTTGGGTGGCAATTAATTGACAAACGTTCCAGAAAAAAGTACCCAAACAATGCAAGTTGAATCGAATGCACAATTTGTGACATTCAGCCTGATGATGGCCTGGCTTCCATACTTTCTGGGCTTCAAAAAAAACCTTCGCTCTGTCCAACGTGCAAATTGCCAACAGTGTGGTTGAATATCTTGAATTGTTGAGGGCGAATTAATGGACTCAGCGCTTTTTAAAAAATTCCTGGGCGAAACCCTGGCGATGATCTAGATTCCAACCGCTTTGCTTCCGAGGGCAAAAACTACACTCTTTCCAACATCCCCATCGGTAATTCCGTATTTTGACCAATTTGGCGGCAATTAATTGACAAAACCTACCGCTAAAATTGACTGACTCTTGGGTCTTGATTGGACAATCCGCCACAGCCTGATGATGGCTTGGATTCCAAACTTTCCGGGCTTCAAGAAGAAACTTCACTTTCCAAGGTGGCAATTGCCAGTAGCACTTCGCGAATAGTTTGGCGTAAATTAATTGTAAAAACCCGCCGGATCAAAGTTGTCGTTTGACTCAATGGGCTTTGAAATAAAAATTCGTTGCCGAGACCCTGATGATGACCTGTATTTTACACGTTATGTCTTTGTAGTGAAATACTTGCTGCCCTTAACACAGTTCAAGATCAGCAAACGCGTAGCTTGATTAGTTTGGCCGCAATTAATTAACAAACTTTGTGAAACAAAGGGTCGGAGCCCAGGCGCAAACAGCCCAAAATATGATCAAGCCTGATGCAAAAATTCATGGAAAAACTCCTGATGATGCCCCACATTCGAAACTCTCCAGGAATATGGGGAAGAGCTTGCTGTTTCCATCACGGTAATTATCAATGGCAGATCTTGAGAGGATTAGCGCAAATTAAAGCGCCTTTGGCTGACTGGGCTTTGAAAATATCCGGACGAAACCCTGATGATGGACTGGATTCGAGACTTTATCTACCTTAGAGGAAATACAACGACAATGGTTTATCTTTACTAGTTTGGGGGCTTTTAGTTGGCAAAACTTGGTGCCAAAATGGCCCAATAGTGTTGTCTAAAATATCCCTGCCAGCCTGCCTGAGGATGCCCTAGGTTCGAAACTACCTGCACGTGTTGGGGAAAGTATGCTCTTTCTAAATTGGCAATTGCCAGTAGTGAATCTTGGACGATTTGGGGCAAATTAATTGATGAAACGCTGATGGATCAATAGGCTTGCAAAGTTCCTGGCCGATGGCCTCTATTCGCAACTTTCGGCCCTAAAAGAGGAAAAGTTGCTCTTAACAATGGTTTGATGGGCAAAAATTCACTAATTTGGTCGAGATTTAATGCCAAAATGTCAAAAGATATTCCGATAGAAAGGGTGTGAATGAACAAGTGGTGGAAAACAACCTGATGATGACCTGGATTCGAAACTTTCTGCGCATACACAGACAACTTTGCTGTTTTC